CCCTCCAACAGAGGGTAGTTGTTCAGAGTCCAGTGATGGTGCCAATGGGGCAGGGGTGGAGGGTGGATGGAAACTGCTACTTTGGTCTCCTCAGTGCCCAAATCCAGCAGGGCAGTAACACTATTGTTGTTACTCCTTGGCATCCATGGTAGGGGGGTCAATAGCCACTCCCTCTAAGTCTCCTTGGAGAGTCTAGAAAATCTCTCTCCTATGCATGACTTCCTGTGCTGTAGCTGGGCACCCAGAAATGCCTCTCCAGAGTGTACTGCTGCCTGTGTGTGGTCTTTATCACAGTAGTGTGGACAGAACTGGTCACAGGAAGAGCATGTGTCCCCTGGCATGCACAGCATCTAGATGTTCTAAAGGCCTTACTTTACCTGCCTCTTGTGAACTCGCAACACCACCTAGACTCATGCCTAATCCTTGCAATGGATGTAGGCTTGGCTTTATATCTGGTAAGGGATGTTTTGTTCAAGTGCTCCCTTTTTTTTTTTTTGGTCAGTCGTGGGGCCTGAACTTGGCCTGGGTGCTGTCCCCGAGCTTTTCAGATGTAGACTAGCGCTCTACCACTTGAGCCTCAGCCTCACTTCCTGCTTTTTCTGCTTATGTGGTGCTGAGGAATCGAACCCAGGGCCTCATGCATGCAAGGCAAGCACTTACCACTGAGCCACCTTCCCAGCCCCGAAGTGCTCCCTCTTAATAGCACCCACATCTCAGGTTCCCACCAAAGTCATGTTTGTCTTATCAATGAGAGTAAATCTTAAGTAAACACAAGTAATCACTCTGTGTGTGTGTGTGTGTGCTGGTCCTGGGATTTGAGTTTAGGGCCTGGATGCTGTCTCTGAGCTTTTTTTTTTTTCCCCTCTCAAGGCTAGCACGTAAGGCACAGATGAAATGGTTTTCTGGTGGTTAATTGGAGTTGAGTCTCATGTACTTTCCAGCCCGGGTTGGCTTTGAACTATGATCTTCAGATCTCAGTCTCCTGTGTACTAGGATTATAGATGTGAGCTACTGAGACCCAGCTCGTTTTCACCTTCTCTGACATATAACAAAATGTAGGGCAATCAAGGCTAAAAGTGGACCAGTGTTGGAAACAGAGAGGCAGCTGTGACTCCACGGTTGTACTGCTCAGGCCTCGGTCCTTCTGCTGAAGGTTAAGGCTAGATCATGCACATTTTCCAAGGTGAGAGAGAAGTGCCTTATAAATTGATCTCCCCCTTGTAATGTGTTCCTGTCTGTTGGTCACTGAAAGAGAATTCTATGGTATAAAAGGCAGGATAAACTGACCTAGAATCGAAGATATCTGGCTACTGAATTAATGGTTATTTCCAATTTTTTTCCCTTTTCCTAATTCTTGTTTATTTTTAGCTCTCCTGATTATGCATTTCGTCTTCTTCTGCATGTGTTCCTTCAAATATCTTCTGCAATGCCAGCTTAGTTGTCACATGGTTTAAGTTGATGATGTACGGGCTAGCTGTTTTCATCCTTCTATTTTCTTTTCATTTTTTATTCCTTCTATTTTCTTATTGGCTTATATTAGTTGTATGAGGGGGTTCATGCATAGATTTCAATCAATTTCACCCCTCTATCACACTCCCTGACCCTTCTCCCTAAAGAATAGCATTCTCAATAGGTTTCTAGGTTCCATTTTCATAGTTACAAAATCTATTTTGATAGTATTCAACCTCCTCTATTATCCTCATTAGTCTAATCCTCCCCCATTAGGCCCCACCCATGGACAGTATATTTCTCTCTCTTTCCCTACCGGCCATCACCTTTTGTTGAGTTTCTCTATGGTGTTGTCATATATACTAGTATTGTGTCACAAAGTTATTCATTCTCTTTGTTTTTCCTCTTCCCTTTCCTTTTCCTCTTGAGTGATTTCTTAGTTTGGTGTGTGTTCTATGCTTGACGACCTAAGAATGTATGTGTATATGAATATCTTTTATGACTAGCTCCCACATAATGAGTGAAAACATATGGTGTGTGAGTGTGTGTGTCTGTGTGTGTGTGTCTGTGTGTGTCTGGGTATGCCAGTGCTGGGGCTTGAACTCAAGAGGTTTAGGTGCTGTCTCTGAGCTCTTTTGCTCAAGGCTAAATTCTACCACTTGAGCCACAGCTCTATTTTCAGCTTTTTTGTGGTTAATTGGAGATATGAATCTAGTGGACTTCCTTGCCCAGCTGGCTTTGAACAATGATCCTCAGATCTTAGCCTTCAGTTTAAGTAGGATTACAGGTGATATATTTTTATTTGAGCTTGACTTACCTCACTTAGTATATCCTCTAGTTCTATACATTTTCCTGAAAATGATTTCATTTTTATGGCAGTGTAATATTCCATAATATGCCAGTATCAGAGTTTGAACACAGAGCCTCACACTTGCTCAGCTTGTTTGTCCACAGCTGGTGCTATAATACTTGAACCACAATTCACCTGGCTTTCTGAATTGGCCAGGGCTGGCCTCAAATTTCAATCTTTCAGGATCTCAGACTCTGGGGCAGCTATGATTACTTGTGTGAGACACTGACTTCTAGCTAGAAGCTCTCCTTCTTATGTACTAGGTGGTACTACTGCCTTGGAAGTTTTAAGGCTGGACTGATTCCCACTTGCTGCAGAAGTGCTTCAGTATGTACAGGGAGGGTGGGCAAATGTCCAAGCTGAGCTCTTCAGAGGCGAAGAAGCAGACAGAACACTCTATTATGCACTGAAGAGGGACCCTGGCATTCTGACTCCAGTCTCAGTGCTCTCAGAATCTACTTAGCAGTAAGCACTACTTGGAAATAGAATAATCCTTTGACTTGAGTTCAGAGACCTTCCCAGTAACCATCGCATGCCAGTAGAAAGGCAGCTCTGAAGTCAGCCAGGGTCTTGAAGCTCCCCAGCTCCCCAGTAATCCAGTGGGGTTCACTCCTCACCATAAAGGACTGCTGACCTCCGTGGCCTCCACACCCATATGCTTTGACTCTGTGTTGACCCTCCCCATCTCCCCCCATCTCTGTCCTCAGACTTCTTTAGTGATTCTTCCTTGTTTCCAGATCCTGTAAGTAACTCAGTCTTGAGCAAATTGGATCCTCTCAAGATGACACCTGGCAATCGCACTCTGAGGTATGGGGAGACACATAACAGGTTTATTTCCCAGTTCTGGCTGCCAAGTACAGGAGTCACCATCACACCAATCCCTGCACTGGATTTATGGCTCACAGGATTGTGGCCTTATTCAGCCATCAAGGCTGTATGGCTGTGGTCACCAGGACTGTGTGCACTTGCCAGGACTAACCTGCCTTGAGCTGCAGCTCAGGTTCTCCTGTGGACACCGAGGTTAGCGTTACAGGCCCCTTTTTCTGCACGGCCCTTCTGTTTCTGCATGTCTTCCAGCTGTCCTGTCACCTCTTTCTTGTTTCCCCAGGCTCTTCCTCTCTTTCTTCATGATGTAACTCTCTTTTGTTACCCTGATGCTTCTTTTTATGGAGTCTTGCAGAGGAAACCTCTAACTCACTATCTTACCCTGGAAACATCTTTATAAATGTGGGAACTTGTTACACCAGTAACAAGAAACTTACATTTTTCCTATCAACTGGTACAGTGAAAATTCCTCTTATTAGCAAACCTGATTTCCTCTCTCCCTCCTTTCCCCCTTTTGTCCCCTCTTCCCCTTCCTGACTCCCTCTCTCCACCCCCATCTCATTCTCCCTCTCTCCCCACCCCTTCTCTCATTCTTTTGTACCAGTGCTGGTGCTTGACCTCAGGGTCTCACACTCTCCCATGGCGTTTTCCTTTCAAGGCTGACACACTGTCAGTTGACCCACAGCCCTACTTCCCTGTCTTCACTTCTTTCTCTCACCCTATGAAACAATGCCCCCAAATGCCCAATGAATAAACTGTAAGCATTTTTTATGGATATGTCACAACCCTCTGCCATCATAAAAATCAGGTTCGCACACACTGTATTTTTAACTCGGTTATGTGAACCTAATTTGCAAATGGTGGAAATTCACTAAGAAATGCAGAATCAGTAAAATAATGTAGATTGATACATAAGTATAAAGGCTTGTAAATATTTCATGAAAGAACAGAAACATTTAAGTTCTACTTCATTTACTCAGGTGGTATATGCATGTTTCCTATTATTTACCAGGACTTATCTGTGTCTAGGAGTATAAGAACGAAAAAAGACAAAGTTCTGTTGTACGGTCTGGTGGGGAGAAGATAAAAATAACAAATATTGAAGCATTTCAAATATTGATACATGCTATAAAGAACCTACAATCAATGATATGAAAGTACCTGATAGGCCTGTAATCCTAACTACTTGAGAGGCTGAGATGTGAGGATCACAGTTCAAAGTCAGCTCAGGCATTGAAATCCAGGAGACTCTTATCTCCAATTAACCACCAAAAAGTTGGAGCTGTGGCTTGGCTCAAGTGACAGAGTGCCAGCCTTGAGTAAAATAGTTCTGGGAGACTACCCAGACCCCGAGTTTAAGCACCAGCTTGGGTGCACTGACACAGACACAGACACACAGACACAGACACAGACACACAGACACAGACACACACAGACACACGAGAAAAAAAAGTGCCTGATGGGTGTTTATTCACAGGGTGCTAGGGCCATAATGTCCATGGCCAGATCCAGGCTATAGATTAGCAGGTGTCTGGTGCTCAGCAAACCACTTATCCTTACTGTGTCTTAAGTTTTCTCATCTGTAAAATGGGGCTACTCGTGGTACTTACTTCACAGGGTTGTCAGGCAAAATTCATGTGTCTAGAGGAGGTTGAGCTGCGTTATCTGGCACACACTTTCTCTTCTCTATTTTCCTGAATAATTCACATTGAGCTAAAGTTTCAAAATTAGGAAGAGGCTCCAATAAAGAATATGGATGACTTAAATGGGATCTGTTACAAATAAAGAACAATTAGAACAAGATCCACCTCCTTCCTTTATATTTGTAGGGCAAATCAAAACGAAAATACATGATTAAATCACAGCAGCAGCCTCGTCACCCCTCTTCGCCTTCCTCCGAGCTCTCCTCACTCGCCTCCTCGGTGCTCTCGCCCTCACTCTCGCTGCTGCTGCCCTCCTCGCTGTCTTCGGCCTCTTCCTCCACATTCTGGGCTTTCTCTGCCACAGAAAAGAAGAGAAATGCTCAGTGTGTTCCTCAATATCTCCATTCCCCCCTCTGTGTTCTCCCTTTTACCAAGAAATACTTATTTCTGGAAATGGAAGAATGGAATTGAACTTGGCTAGCTAGATGAAGGGTCAAAGTAGCAGAACGAGGAAGAAATATATTCTGACTGGCATGAAGTTTGTGGGTTTACATGTTAATTAAACACATGGGTCTATAAAATCATTTTTTTCTCTTGTCAGTGAAATTTTTAAATAGAAAAAGAATTGAGATTTCCTTAAAGTTGTATGGTAACTCCTTAATACACAAAGGTGATGTTAACATGTTCTGCTTTGGATACCCAATACCCGGGAGCCAAGGACCCTGCTTTGCTTGGGCAGTTCCACCCACTGAGAGAAAGGGGATCATTTGTACCATCCATGGAGTATAAGCTGATTTCACTAAACCATGTAAGAGAGTCAAATAGGTCTTTTTTCATACTTTTTTTTGGTACTGGAGTTTGAGCTAAGGGCTCAATACCTGAGTCATACCTCCAGCCTTAGTTGGTTTAGTTATTTTCAAAAATAGGATCAGGCTCTTTACTAGGGCTGCCTGGACCACACTCTTTCTATTTTTATTCCTTGAGTAGCTGAGGTGACAAAAACACTACTATGCCCAGCTTTTCATTCACTGATCTTCCTGAAATAGCAGAGGTTACAGGAATGTGCCACCATACCCAGCCAGGCATTTTTTAACTTACTTCCTGTATATACATTTTTACAATTTCCTTGGATAATGGGTTTTAAAAGACTGTTTATAGTTCCTTGAGAAAAAAATTTAAATGTAAAAATTACCCTTCAGCAACATTTCCTCAATAAGTGTGAAAAACTCCTTGGCCTCAGGATTTTCTGGTTCATAGATTAGGACTGAAAATGAATAACAGAATATGGGTTATTAATGTTCAAAGTGTTGCTACAAACAGATTTTTTAGAATGAGATTGGGACTGTCAGTCAGAGAAGGTACTGTACAAAGCAAAAATAGTAACAATTATATCACAGGCATATCTAAGTGCATGTGGAGAAAATGTTCCATTTATATTTGGTGCTTCTCAAGAGAAATGACCTTAATTGCATCTTCTACCTTCTATCAAACAAATGCACTTTCTATTACCCCAGTATGCCTTTCTTTCATAGGCCAGTAACCAAAGTGCTTCATGAAAATAATTATTCCCCAAAGACAGAACAGTAATGAGTAGACTGTACCTAGAGATTTGCTAATCCTTTCCTCCAGTGTCTTCATGACAGCCTTTACAAAGGTCTCAGCACAAAGGATGGAAATGTTCTTTCAAATAAGGGAATTTGATATGATTTCTTTTCCCACTGAATTTTACCCTAATCTATGTTCCACAATCATTGTTTGGACAATGATGTTCTCCCCCTATTTACTGGACCATTATTTTTAGCAATATTTCCTTTTTCCTCCCCCCAAAAAACCTTTATGTGACCTCTATGTGTCATTTTTCCTTGGAGCACATCAGTAGGCTTTTTGGTGTATTGCTAATGTCATTGAGTTTGGAGTTGCAAGCCTTCACTTCAGCGTTATCTAAGCTATTTTAAAATTTCATCCTATAAGTCACTTCTTCCTACTTGCCTTGAGGGCTATTCATAATTCCACATGCCCAAGTCCTGTGCAATATCTTGGTGGTCCCCAGGGGGCACTGAAACATTAAGTGTTCTATTCATTTGGCTGAAAGTGGAGAGCTCTGTAGGTAGTTCAAGGCCCAGAAGACCCGATCCACAGCTTTCTTCCTGACACATTAAACCAGAGACTATATCCTAATCCACCAACAAAACAATTTATCATCAGTCTGGGTCAGCATGACTGCCTGTTCAGAAGCTGCTTTTAAGAATCCCACGTTTCTTTTTTTTTATTTGTTTGTTGTTTTTGGAATTTGACTTAAGGGCTTGGGTGCTGTCCCTGAGGTTCTTTTGGTCAAGGCTAGTACTCTACCACTTGAGCCAAAGATCCACTTCTGGCTTTTTTTGTAGTTTAGTGGAGATAAGAGTCTCAGACTTGGGCTGGGAAGGTAGCTCAGCGGTAAAGTGCATGTCTTGCAAGCATGAGGCCCTGGGTTCGATTCCTCAGCACCACATAAACAGAAAAAGCTGGAAGTGGCGTTGTGGCTCCAGTGGTAGAGAGCTAGCCTTGAGCTGAAGAGCTGAGGGACAGCGCCCAGACCCAAAGTTCAGGCCCCATGACTGGCAAAAAGAAAAACAAAACAAACAAACAAAAAAAAAACCAAAGAGTCTCAGACTTTCTCCTTTGTTTCCCCTTAGGAAGAAGCAACAATGCTTGATAAGAAATGTACTCATTACCTTGCCCATGTAATTGTAACCCCTCCGTACGGTATTTTCACACACACACACACACACACACACAACTCAGATCCCAGTCTCCTGAGTAGCTAGGATTATTACTATTATGAGCCACAGCAAGAATTCTAGGTATTTTTGAACCATTCCACACACATAAGTTTTCCTATTTTATTCTTGAGCTTGAACTCAGGATTTCAAGCTTCACTTGACTTTTTCAGTCAAAGCTGGCACTCAACCATTTGAGCCACAGTTCCATTTCTAGCTATTTGTTTAACTTGACTGAACTGGAGATTGGACTGTAAATTGGAGATAGGAACCTCTCAGACTTTCTGCCCCACCTGGCTTTGGACCACAATCCTTAGATCTCAGCCGCCTGACTAGCTAGGATTACAGGTGTGAGCAACCAGTGCCTCTATTATATATATATAATATATACACACATACACACACATATAAACTTGAACTAATATATGGTCATTAGTCTATTTCTTTGAGGCTAAGTCTTTCTATAGAGCAGGGTTTCTAGTTGCTTCTTCAGATACTAGATTCTTAAGGTACTAGTTTCTTAAATACATATTCTTAACTAGTTTTTTAAAATATAGATCTAAAAACTAGGTTAAATGTAGCTACTAAGGAGTAGCCACACGATTTTGTTTTTTTTTTTTTTGTCATTGTGGGACTTGAACTCTGGGCTTGAGCACTGTTCTTGGACTCTTCAGCTCAAGGTAAGTGCTCTACCACTTGAGCCACAGTGCTACTTCCAGTTTTCTGGTGGTTTATTGGATATAAGAGTCTCATGGACTTTCCTGCCTGGGCTGGCTTTGAACTGTGATCCTCAGATCTCAGCCTCCTAGGAGGATTACAGGTGTGAGCCACCGGCACCTGGCTTTAGCCACAAGATTTTAATAACTATCCATATGTTTGAAATTATTATGAACCTTACAGAGAGGAAAATGTGGCTTTCTGAACTTATTGAAAATGAAATCTTTTGGTGAAACACTTTCTAAGAAATCCTGAACCAGAAGATGGATGGTAGATTAGAAGCTTGTTCCATAAGACTCCATGAATAAGAATAAGGCTCTAAGTTCAAGCCCCATGACTGACAAAAAATAAGTAAGTCAATTAAGCTAGGAGCTGGTGGCTCATGCCTGTAATCCTAGTTACTCAGGAAGTTGAGTTTTGAGGATCATGGTTAGAAGCCACCCTATGCAGACAAATTCAAGAGACAGTTATTTCGAATTAGCCAGCAGTGCCAAAAGTAGAGATGTGGCTCAAGTGGTAGAGCACCAGCCTTGAACTTTGAAAAAGCTAAAGGAGAGTATGAGGCCCTGAGTTCAAGCCCTAGTACAGGCATATGTGTGTGTGTGTGTGTGTGTGTGTGTGTGTGTGTGTGTGAATATGAATATGTTGTTGTGCCTTGCTGAAGGTTGTATTTCTAAGGTCTACACCAGTGCCTGGGACATGCAAATTCAGACATTTGTGGAACAAATGCATGTTAAGTATAATTATTGCACCAGTCATCTTTGGGGCAAAAAGGCTGACTTGTTTTCTAGTGATGATTAGTCTGTGTTGGCCTACGTTACTTTTATTTCATGTAAAGATACTCTAGAAGTCTAAAATATTCCTTCTATTAGCCAATCTCACTTACCACCAAGGAATCACCAAGACATCAACAGGGAATTCCCTAGATTAGGATAATTGAGCCATCTTACATATTATAGAATTAGAAACAAAAGGAAGATTGGAAAAAATGTAAAAGTACTTTATACTTACTCATCTGACATAATTTTTTTGCTAGATGGTAGTCACGGCTCATTTCTGCTCTCAGGAACTGGAAAACATTAAGTTCTTTAGGTAAGTAGTTTCTGAGAGAATTTAAACTATTAAAACTACTCCCTAGAAAATATTCCATTAATGATTATTTTATTCTAATCCTGATATGTTTTTCCAGCAGTGAATCTGCAATCAATCAATCAGCTAAGGATATTTAAGGACCTGTGACAGCAAGGCAATATAGTGTGTACATTCACTCCTGAACTTGCATGAGAGTGCCGACATTAATCACATTAGTTGAATGTTCCTGGTTCAGGTACAGGTTTTTTTTGTTGGATGACATGACAGTCTTTAGTTGAAAAAAATAATTGTGAGCTAGTGTGGTGGCACACACCTGTAATTATAATATTCCAAAGACTGAGACGAGAATTGTGAGCTCAAGCTTGGCCTGGGTTATGTGGAAAGACCAGGTGTAAACCCCCCCCCCCCACAAAAACAATTGTAATTGCATATATCAATACTTCCCAGAACTGTTTCTGTTACCCATTTTGCTTATATAGCTTTTATTATTACAAAATAACATATTTAATATAGGAAATTACAAAAGCTAAACAAACATATTATATCCTCAAAGTCCTGGGGCTTGAACTCAGGGTTTGGGTGCTGGTGCTCTCTCACTTTAGCCACAGCTCCACCTCTAGTTTTTTGGTGGTTGATTGGAGATAAGAATTTTATGAACTTTCCTGTCCAGGCTGGCTTCAAACCATAATCCTCAGATCTCAGCCCCCTTAGTAGCTAGAGATTATTGGCATGAAGTACTGGCACCTACCTTTGCAGTTATTTTTTAATGCCTAATTTCACTGGCCCATAATCAAAGAACATAACCAGTATAATATGGGGCTGTTTCCATTTTAAAAATCTTATTTACCATTTGACTTTCTGTAAGGTCCATTCCTGGACGGTGAACAGACCTCGCCCAGTACCTGCGTTACCTAGGCAACTGGGACACCTGGAAGAGGTCACATCCGCATCCGCTGAGGTCACATCTTAACCTGATGTGGCCACACCTTTCTCCCACCTGACCCCACTTCCCTTTACCTGGACACACCCTTCCGCACCCCCTACCCTATATAAGGCCTAAACCGCGGCCAGACCGCCCCTTTTCCTTTGCCAGCCGCGTGGAGTGCCAACCTTGCCTGGTCCCAGCAGGTCTACTGAATAAACCCCTTACCTGAATACCACGTGCGTGGTGCAGTTCTTACTCGGCCACCTCTTTTTAAAGACCTAACACTTTCTACACTTAAATTCCTTCAACTTTCTATGATTCTGTTCATGTATCTTCCTCTAAAAATCCTTCTCTTATTCCTTGTTCCTTCTATTTCTTTCCTTAGTCACTTAAATCTCTCTGTTCCTAGAGTAACACAAATACTATAACTAGCCTGCATTTCATTTTATTGTAATTACTGATGTGTCTCTTCTCAAGAATAGAACGTGTCTTTTATTGATCTTTCTATTGGCAGCAACTCACACAGGTCCAATGAGCACAAAGTATTTCTTAGAGTGGTTCCCAAAGTCTCACACTGGCCTTGGCCTCACAGGATTATGCTATGTCATTTCAGGGTCTTGTCTCACTTCTAACCAGGTGAAAATAGTGAGAGAGATGACTAAACCAGAAGGCATCTGCCAGGCGCTGGTGGCTCATGCCTGTAATCCTAGCTACTCAGGAGGCTGAGATATGAGGATCATGGTTCAAAGTCAGCCTGGGCAGGAAAGTCCATGAGACTCTTATCTTCAATGAACCACCAGAAAACCAGAAGTGGCACTGTGGCTTAAGTGGCAGAGCGCTAGCCTTGAGCTGAAGAGCTTAGGGATAGCACCCAGGCCCAGAGTTCAAGCCCCATGACTGACCAAAATTTCAAAAAAAAAGAAGAAGGCGTCTCTATACAGACAGGGATCGTCCCAATTTTAGAATCCTTTGTTGCTTTTGTTTGGCTAACATCAGTAGCACAAGGAGGCTTTCTTCATTCTATGGATGTGCATAGTATATTCCTAACTATGTTGCCTTAGTCTTCCTTCCCCTTTCTGTAGCTTGAAATCTCTAATGAATAAATACTAATTTATTTAATCTACATAAGAAAAGGCTATCTACTATTTAGTTATTTCAAGTTTCTAACTTTCCTCAGACCTAATGTATGAGTAGAACTTACTTCTGCCATTAACTCCAGTGGGGCCTGAGTAGCATTGGGAGGATGCCCATGTTCATCGTCTTCCCCACTGGTGTCTTCTTCACCATCACCTGTTGATTCTGATGACTCATCATCAATATCCTGAAGGCAACAGTCATTCTTTTTCTCTGGCTTTGCACTGCCTATATCTTTGCTCCTTTCACCTACAACAGAAATATACATGCAGAATTCTGAATATAAATCTTTCCAGATCCTATTAGCACCTGTAAAATGGAAGACAATGAACAAATCCAGAAGAGTACCAGAGAAAAGACAAGTTACAATCATGTACACCCACACCACACACACACACACACACACACACACACACACACACACAGATAAAACTCCTAGCTCTTCTCTGGAGGGAGATTCAGAACCCTCCCAAGAGTGTGCTGGCTGAGGTTGGTAGACACCCACATACATGCTCTTCTGAGTCATTTAATTTCTCCATGGAATCACAACAATCTTATCTTCTAGAGTGTATGCAGTCTGTGTACCAGTTCACCACACTGATATCATGAGGAGAAGGTCATAATTAGGGATTAAAGAACCCTGTGATGTCACAGGGTTGTCTCATTCACTCACAAATAGCATTGTGGAGAAATTTCCTGACCCCTAAATGGAATGTAGCCCTTCTCCAGGTATAATTTGTTTAAATGTAGCACTCCACACAACCTCAGATTATCCTGTGTACTTCTGTTTATGATGACAATGATGGTGATGATGATGATGGTGATGATAATGTTTGTTATTTTCTTCTTTTGCTAAGTACTAGGGCTTGAACTCAAAGCTTGTTTGTTCAGCTTTCTTGCTCATAGCTGGTGCTCTACCAATTGATCCATATCTCCAATCCAGCTTTTTTTCTGGTTAATTAGAGATGAGGCTCATAGATCAGTCTTCTTGCACTGACTTTAAACATTAATCTTCAGATCTCAGCCTTCTTAGTAGTTAGGATTATAGGCTCATGCCACTGGTGCCTGGCTTTTTTATTTTTTTAAGTTTATTTTAAAATTGATATGTAATTATATATTTATGGTATGCTATGTGATGTTTTAATAAATGTGTGCATGGTTTAATGCTTAAATCAAGTAAAACATATTTACTCAATTATTTATTTTATTTTTTGTTTGTGTTTGGTTCTAGGTTTGAACTCAAGGCCTGGGGTACTGTCCCTGAGTTTTGTGCTCAAGGCTAACACTCTACCACTTGAGCCACAGCTCCATTTTCAGCTTTTTGGCAGTTAGTTGGAGATAAGAGTCTCACTGACTTTCCTGCTCAGTCTGGCTTTGAATTGTGATCCTCAGATCTGAGCCTCCTGAGTAGCTAGGGTTACAGGCGTGAGCCACTGGTGCCTCGCAATCATTTATCATTTCATTATGATGAAAACAAACTTTATTCTAACTTTTTGAAATATGTAGTACATTACTGATATCTATGATTTCTCTACCGTACAATAGCATACCAGAACTTCTTTTTCCCCTTACATAGTTTATTGAATATGAGCACCTGAATATATCTGACATGGTAATGAAAAAATGTGTACTGGATATGGATGCTAAATTATTTGTTCTTTTTCCTCTTTTACAATAGTAAAATAGCCACTTCTCTTATTTGTTCATTCAAATTTGTGTTTAATTTCTATTTACATTCATTCAATCTGAAATCAAATTCTTCAGACAGAGAAGGTGTTACCTCATAGCACTAATAAGGTAGTTGAAGAATCTATTTAATAGATGAAAAGCCAACTTGAAATAGGAGAAACACAACAGTTTAAAGAGGAAACACAGATGAGATGGTACTCGAAAGTAATATCCACTGAGATAGTAATTGTCATCTTAAGAACTCACACAAGGAAAGCACTGTATTAATCAGCAACAGATCTCAGATCATGCGCTTCTTATTCATGTCTATAACTTGCTATCCATCTCTCCTTCTTCTCTTACCTGCCCCAGTCTCTGCCATTTACAACTTTCAACTTTTGTGAGATCTGCATTTTGATCCCACATGCGAATGAGATCATGTGGTACTGATCTTATGCCTGTCTTATTGCACTTAATATGAAGATCTCTAGTTCCATCTGTGCTGCTGCAAATGACAAGATTTTTATCATTTAAAGGCTGAATTTACATTGTGTAAATATGCCACAATTTCTATGTCTGTTCATAGAAAATTTTGCATTATTTTTAATAGCTGACTATTTCCACTAGACTGTGAACTTCATGAAGGTAAGGATTTTTTTTCCCAATGATTAAATCCACAGCTTCCAAACCACTCTGGCTTTCAACCATTGCTGAGTGGATAGAATTTGTTAATACTTACACAGATACTTCAATACATTGTAGGATTTAATGTCCTATGATTATCATCTTATATAACCTGTACTGGCTTCTGAATTACCTGGCTTCCTCTCACAATCACCCATTAGGTAAATGTGAAAATGACTAGTTCTCATGACCCATCCCCCTCACTCCTATGAACAGTCAGTCCCAAAGGTCATGTAAAACAGGGCTGGGGTAGAAGATACAACCACACAGTACAATACTTATAACTGATTACCTGTATTTTCTTTTAAGAAAGAAGATGACTGCTGATTTGGTAACGTGTCTTTATGTTCAATGCTTTTTGGAGATGGTTTCTTGTCAGTATTCTTTAAAGAGACTGGCTTTTCAATTTTCTTTGGAGAAACTTCCTTCCTAAATGTTAAAGTAGATGGTGAAAAGCTTTGCATTTATATATACATACAGGATAATATACTACCAATAATGTAAACACCTAAAATGTAAATAATTAAAATTTCATTTCTGCCTGACATTTGTTATTGTATAACAATTCCTAGGATCTTTTCAGAGTTAACATGGACCATATAAAAATCAGTGATACAGATGTTATTGTACATTACTGTGATAATGGTGGCATGAAAATACTGAAGGAAATCAGAGAGAAAGAGAGAGAGAGAGGAAAAAACGACTGAGAAGTCACTGAAATTTTTCTGGTACAGCAAGATTACTGTCTCTAAAAGTTACTATGCTCTATTATCTAAGTCAGACAAAAGAGATCATTCCTTTATTTTTTCTGAATTAAAATATTTCAGTGAGTCTAAGATACCATCTATTTATTATAAGACAGTATTGTTTTTTTGCCAAATACAAGTGTAAAATGACATAAACCATCTGGGCATGATAACATACATTTCTAATCCCAGGACTCAGAAGCTGAGTATAAGGACCACAAGGTCACGATCAGAATGGGTTACATAGTGAGACTCTATCTAAAAAACAATATGTATATACATATATACTTTATGAATCTATGAAATATGACACAGAGCATTAGTGACTCACTCCTGTAATCATAGCTACTTGGGAGCTGAGAGTGGGAGCATCAAGGTTCAAGGCAGAAAAGTTCACTGGACTCCTTCTCAATCCAAAGGCAGATGAAATGGTATGCCTTTGATCCCAAGCTGTGTAGGATGCTGAGATCCAAGGATTCTCTTTCCAGGGAGGGAAGCTGAACTCAGTGTGTGCCTGGGATCCCAGCAATGTAGGGAAGCTTAAAAGTAGGTGGATCACTAAGCTCAACTGTGTGCCCAGGCAGGAAGCAAAACTCCATCCTAAGAATAACCAGTGGAAAACAGAGCTGGAAGCATGGCTCAAGGGACATAGCACCAGCCAAGCAATTGTGAGGCCCTGTGTTCATACCCCAGTACTATAAAAAATAAAAAGAAATATGATACTTATATATTCACTTAGCTATATCCATAATTAAAGCCTAATATGATTTTCACAGTAAAGCATAAACTTATTTTCTTTATACTTCCTATAGTCTTTCTCATACAGGTTCAAAGAATCAGAGTCTGGAAGTTCAACCTTCATTTCAACTAAAATCTACTGACTTCCATTTGAGAACATGATTTATTTATGGGAATGAGGGCTCTAATCATTTAAGAAAACAGATGACTAAAATATTCAAAAAGAACAGTTTACATTAACTTAAATACAATTATAGCATCCTTTGGAACTGGAAGGTAGTTATTACTTATTAAAGCTACAAAGTTACTCAGGCTAGATATTCTGCTAGAGCTCACCATTAAGAGAGCCTAGATTTTCAAGATTTTTTTTTACTGTATAAAAGAAAATTGGGCATATTTAGAAAATGTCTCAAACTCCATTGGAATTAATATGTTTTCTCAGAATATGTGTACTTTGAGCTTTGTCTTGTATGATTTATATCAGGCTGCAAAATTACTTAAAACTTACTTTTCTGAGGCCGTCTTGGTTACACTTAGCGAGCCCTGTGGTTGAGTATGAAGTTTTCTTGCCAATCTTGGTCTATGTCCAAAGGAGCATGTACTAAAAGTGTAAAAATGAGAATTAAAAAGATAACTGGTCAGTCATTTTAGAGATTATAAAACATGATTGCATAACAAACAGAACCTACAGATAGAAATGTTCAACTTTGACCCAAGAATCGGGGGTTGTGGATTTGCTTCAGCCACTCTTTCTGTGGCTGGCACTGGGTGGGGAATCCAACGTACAAGGCAAAGAACTGGGAGACAGAAAGCCAGTTCTGCATGCCTCAACCTAGACAGGACCTTTTGACAAACAAATCATACCTGCTAGTTAGCTGATAGAGACAACAGCTGGTGGCAAGGGGAATGAAACCCACACTGAGAAAAAAACACCTTCTTTGAAGATCAGCCATACTTCCCTGAGCAAAGGGCCCCTCATCGTTTTCTATTTTACTTCTATTCCTCCCTCCTTCCCTAAAGTCTACTATTGTTTACCTTCAACTCTGGATGAACCACCTGAGTCAGCCAAGCAACCTGAGAGGCTGAGCTGTGTGAAGCTCCTATGTGTGAAGATCACCAGCATCCCTGCACTTTTCCCAGTGAATTCAAGGGAACATGGGCATTTTAATTGTCCTTGCAAGGGGTAGTTTGATAGTCAAGAGCAAGTCATTCCTGTATTTGTCTAATTTGATCCAGGCTTCGTTGCTTTATTTCTGGGCTTTATCTACCAGGAACGATCCTTCCAGTTCTATCCCTACTGATTACAGTCTTTGAGGGGGGAGAAGGTTCCCAGACACAATAGGAACTTACTTCTCATCAATGTTCTATTAGCTTCAATTGTTACTCCTTAAAATCATATCTCCTGTTTTACTCAAGGATGAGTATATATTTCATAGATCTAAGTAAATTACGTTTCCAAGTACATGTATTAGAATATATGTACTAATGTACTAACAGAACTTTTTTCCAGGTTGGTTATAACTATAAATTGAAATGAATATAAATTCTCTATCTTTGATCTGCTACATATTACTTTCTCTTTAATAGAAAAATATATTTATTATATATTAATATCACATATAAAATTTATCATCAAAGACAAGGTAATTTTTAGCTACTACAGTATGAAATTTAAACTGTTATATAGTTTTTTAAGTCAGTAATATTCAGACTGTTCAGAATAAACAAAAAGCAATGTTTTTTATTTATGTATTTTTTACTTAGTACCCAGAGCTTCACCCAGGCTAGGAAAATTGTCCATCACTGAGCTACTTCTCTATTCCTCAAAGCTACACTTTCAACCTCAAGAACTGAACTTGAAAAGAAAATCTGGTGCCAATATTTTCCAAATAATTTTTATGAATGTATTTTGTAATAAAATTTTAAACTTATTTTTCATAGAAGTTTTTTTTGCCCCCAAAGTAGGACATGATCATATTAGGAAGGGCTTTAATTAGTCCTTAGAATCCATTTCCATCTGAGCTGCTACCTGATAATTTGGTATTAAATTGGTATTATATTGTGATTTTGATACTGGTTTCTTCAATTGAGGTAAATTCTTCCTTGCTTCCTTCTTTTATTTTTGAGACAGAGTCTTGCCAGTATAGCCCAGATTGGCCTCAAACTTGGAATCCTCTTTCTTTTCTTTGGTGGGTCCTGGGGTTTGAACTCTGGGCCTGGGTACTGTCCCTTAGCTCTTCAGCTCAAGACTAACACTCTACCACTTGAGCCACAGTGCCACTTCTGGTTTTCTGGTGGTTTATTGGAGATAAGAGTCTCACGGACCTTCCTGCCCAGGATGGCTTTGAACCATGATCCTCAGATCTCAGCTTTCTGAGTAACTAGGATTACAGGTGTGAGCCACTGGCACCCAGCTGCAATTCTCTTGACTCAGCCTTCTCAGTTCTGGGACTACAGGTGTCACTATGTCTGGCTGAATTTTGTTTTGAAATTATTGGCAACAATACATGTTATAGTGAATTAAAGTGCTTATTTTAAATTAATTATTCACTTACGGGGCTGGGAAGGTGGCTCAGTGGTAGAGCGCTTGCCTTGCATGCCTGAGGCCCTCGGTCTGATTCCTCAGCACCACATAAGCAAAAAGAAAAAAAAGCCGGAAGTGGCACTGTGGCTCAAGTGGTAGAGCACTAGCCTTGAGCTGAAGAGCTCAGGGACAGCGTCCAGGCCCAGAGTTCAGGCCCCACAACCGGACCCCAAAAAAAAAAGTAATTATTCACTTACAAAGATATTCAAAGGAGTAAGCAAGTATCAAAGGGAATAGGAATGACCAATGAAAATATACAAATAAATTACAAACATTAAAACATGGAAATGAATTTTAGTTATACTACTATATTTTTATCAAAATTCATTTTTCATTTAAATATCCTTCTATTTAAGTAACAATTGCTTTGAAGGAAGCAACGCTAAGCTGCTAGTCCACGCACTTCTGGCTTTTCAAATTTAATTGGGTGACAAATGATTGCACTATCTACTTCTAATTGCTTAAAAGGCATGTGATAGATCTGCTGCACAGACAAAGACATCTTCTTACTTTGACATTGCTTCATTTAAGTATCCCTTATTCTGAAAGAGAAGAAAAAAAATTCAGTTTTTATTTCAACAAGAAAATGTGGTGTATATATATATATATATATGTGTGTGTGTGTGCCACTATATATATATGTATGTATGTGTATATACATATATATGTATATACACATACATACATATACATATACATATACATATACATATATATATATATATATATATATATATATAGTGGTAATCTATGCCTACATCAGAAAGAATGACATTGCCCCATTTGTTAGGAAATGGAAAGACTTGGAAAAATTATATTAAGTAAAGTAAGCCAGGCCCAAAGAAACATAGGTCCCATGGTTTCCCTTATTTGCAATAACCAGTACATGTGTAGGACAAGCAGAAAAGGCCAAAAGCTATATACATATGACCATATAAAATGATGTTAAGCAAAATGAATCCCAAGATAGGGACACAAATATCTTTTTCCTTACTTGCTATTGTTTCTAACATATTTATAATGTACCATGTGATTTTGTTGTTTCTTTTTATGTTCCTCCCCCACGGTATAACCCCTATTTTCACTGTATTTGATGTTGGTGCCCTGCATCTAGTATATACACTTCTCAAATTTGGGGAGGGAAAGGGAAAAAACAAAATGCTTAAATAAGGATACAGATTGACCCATTGTAACAATGAGATGTACAAAACACTATGTTGAAAACCAACTTTACAACTTTGGTGGTGGTGGGGGTAGTTGTGGAGGTAGGAGGGAAGGGATGGTAGGGGGAAAACAAAGGAGGAGGCAACAATGCTCAATTGGAAATGTACTCATTACCTTGCTCATGTAACTGTAACCCCTCTGTACAGCATTTTTACAATAAAAATGTACAAAAAAGAAATATAGGTCCATGGTTTCTCTCATTTGCAATAACTGGTAAAAACATAAATTTCTAATTGGAAAAGGTTTCTTTGATTTTTTGAGAGACAATATAATAAAGGATTTAACTGTTAAGTCATACAATCACATTTAGCCATTCCAATATTCTTGATTAATATTTGGGACAAGATCATAGTCAGACACTGTGTAAGAAACTATTAATGCCTTGGATCAAATACTAGCAATCTGCCATTCTGTCTGGTTTTTAAGTGCCTAAAATAGAGGCAAGACACTAGTATTATTGTCATTTTACTTTAAGGTGTTTGAAATAACCCATTAAGGATTTTATATAATCATTATCTAGGCTAACGTGTAATTTATAATTAAAATCAATTATTTAAAAATCCTATACATTGGCGATAAATAGAACCAAAACAAATAGAACCAATGTGCTGTGTAAATCAAATTTAGCTGACACTTCAGTTGACATTTTAGTTGGTGTCAGGAAAAACATCATCGAGAATGTATGTGAGCCGGGGAAGAGAAAAGTTTTCTATAATATTTCAAGATACGGTATTTAAATAAAGTATTATTAAAAGAATTTATATTTATACCAGTTGACTCCTGACTTTATCCAAAGATACTTTAAAATACAATTTTATTCCATAAATTCCCTCATGTATTTATGAAGACTCGAAAGTTACTATGTTTTCTCTATGAATTTTTACTTTTCTAAGTTACCTAATTATAGGAATTATTGTCCTATAACTTTGCCCTTTTATATCTGGATAAATTTCCTTTGTAAAGAGAAAAACAAACTCTTAAGGTCTTTTTCAAATTTGGAAAAGATCACATTTCCAAGAAACAATCTAATTGTTCCTCTCTCTAAAACTTGCTCCATTATCTTTAAATACTGATATTATTATATATCTAGGTGTTCTGGAATACAAAATTCAGGGCCCAAACTGTGGACTATAAATGCGAAGCTTCATTCATTTGTTTCTGTGTTTAAATCTGTCTCCCTCCCACTTACCTGTACCCTCAAATACTGCAGAAGTACATAAAGTTTTGCCTTAGGCTTAGAATTCTGAGGAACCCTGACCAAACCAGGTGTTAAATGTGTTTTTAATTTGAATTTCTCACTGAGATTTGATGGACTCCTAGAAAAACAAGGTGTCTTTTGGAGGAAACCAGTTGTTCAAAACCAAACTCTAGCATAAATGAGCTATTTTGCAATGAGCTACTTTCATTCTCTAGGAAAAAAAAATATGTAATCAACTATAAAGGCCCTACCAAACCATCTAAGATGACCTTTCTTGAGAGATACTTTTGCTCCACAGATTTATATAACACTGGTTCTGGCAGGACACATAGAGAGCATCACCTTTATATTTAGTGTTCTTCTCCTTCTAGTTATAGGATCTTCATGGATTGTAACATTCTACTCTTACCTAGACAAAACAGCAATGACTAATTCTTTCCTGTTATCACCTGGTGAAAGAAGCATAGATGAATGCAGCCAAGCCCCTGATTAGGACCCAGGCTCTGTTTAGTCTAGCTTTATTATTACACAGGAGATATCCACGTCACCTGCCCTCCTAAAACCAAATTCCTCTGAAGGCAGTATAGAATAATACTCTTGTTGAAAAAGATTGGATTCATTATCAATTTGGCCAGCCACAAGTAAGTTTTGGAAAGTTAATACATTTCTTTAAGCTTCAGTTCTTTTATTTGAAAAATGAGGATCACAATGGGGCCAACTTTGCCAGGTTCAAGGGGTAACTTGGTTCAGTGTCTAGCTAGGAAGGACACTATAGAAACAACGTGGTTTGCTTCTCCAAAGGAAAAGCTGAGAAGATTCCTTACGGGACTGATTAGGATTGCTAAGGGTAACAAAAATGAGCTTTTACTGTGATTGAAACAGGCCTATCAGCTCCAAGGGCTTTAAATTAATTTATTTAAAAAGTCAATAGCCCTAAAAGCACTCATACTTGTTTAGAAAGACCACTGACTCCAAGGGAAAAAGCAATTAATTTAGGACACAGGTCAAAATTAAAACAGCAACCAATAAGCTGCACAGATGAATAGTTATAAAGGTAATATACATTTTAAAAATAATAATTATTATGCAGAAAATACCTGAAAGGAGCTCCTTTCAGAAAAAAGGAATTGATAATACTCATTGGCACTGGGCAGATAAAGGGATGGCTGCAGGATTCAGGTAGAGGAGGGGTTTGTTTTTTTTGGGGGGTTCGGTTGGCTGGTGCTAACTTGTCTCCATTCACTGGTATCTGCTCAAATTAAGTAGTTTATATAGTGTGGGAATAAAAAGACAGTCTTTAGTTTTCATATAATATTCAATATCTATTTCAAATGAATATTTGAGTTATAGTTCTTGTGTTTAGCATCTGTGAAGTCCTGGATTCAATTCCAGTCCCAAATACAAAAAAGAAACATTTGATGAGTACCTACTACATATCAGATTGTCTTTGGTAAGCTCTGGAGGTAAAAAGATGATGATTTCCTGCTTCAAGAAGCTCAGGATCTTATAAGGAAAACAGGTTCTACTTCCTATACATATGGTACAGACCAAGCTTCAAAGTACTATATTTTAAGGCACTTACAGTATAATTGTCCATTCTGCCATTTTGATGAGTACCCATAGCCATCAAATTATTCCTTTTGGAGGCAGAATTGGAAAGTCAGATGAAGAGAGGGTTCAATCAACAGGTCTGTCCCTGAACCAATTTTTAGTTGTAGAATCCATCTCTGAAGTCTATTCTCTGGGTTTTTTAATTTCCCACCTCTGGATTTGTAGACAAAATCCAGCCTACCTAGCTACAAAGGTAGTACTGTCCCAAAGCAGAGCAGTCATGGTAATTCTTAAGCTAACACAGCAACAGGTACAACCTGTGTATCTGTATTCCAAGTTAAGTTAATCCCCTTTTTTCTAAGACCTTTTCAAATGGCATTGTCATAAACTTGGGAGAATGTAAGTCTAAACTTTTCAGCAGACATGGTTCTGGCGTCAAGAAAAAAAATAGCCCAATAAAAGAAGCAGAACACATAAAAAATTAGATGAAGAAATGGAGGGGGAGGAAAAAAAAGAACAGAGAGAGACAGAGACAGAGAGAGAGAAAGATGAGGAGAGAGAATGAGATACACACATATACATCCATAATGATGGCCATGTCCCTGTTCTCCTGCAGAGTCTTTGTCTTACCATGTACCAATTAATTTATGTCTCTTTTTTTTTTTACTGAGATAAGCTGTTTGTTTTTATCATTCAAAACCAAAGCAGACATTGACTAATATGGATCCTACTTCTTGAAACCCAAAATAGCTAACATACCTGACAGCATGTAGTAAGAGCCATATTACTAGTTAATATAGCCCATGGGTCCACCGCAAGAAGGGTTAACTCTATCTTCTTTGATAGACTAAATTACAAGAAGCACAGTCACATTTTGGAATGTCATAAGATTTGACAGTCCAATCTTTCATCAGAACTAAGATTGAGTCAAATTCACTGTGACAGTGACTCGAAGTTGAGATCATGCAGAATAGTTGGCTGTGTGCTAGATAATGGTAATATGACAAGTTGGAAAGGTAGGTGGGAACAACTTTTATAAAAGACATTAATTGCCAATTAATGTATGAGAGAACAACATAAAAGTCATTAATTGCCTATTAATGTATGTGAGAACAACTTATAAAAAAGTCATGAATTGCCAAATGCTAATGATTTAGGGATTTAATAAGATATCAATGTAAATCTAAACAATCTTTGAAGGAAGATTAAGTCTATTAGAAAAGAAATTTGTTAGATGGTAAAGCTGAGAGAGAACAGACGCAGTCTGGTGCCAGGGTTGACAAACCAGAGCCCACAACCTGTGTGACTCATTATCTGTGTGTGTGTATGTGTGTGTGTGTGTGTGTGTCTTGGGGCTTGAAGTCAAGGTGTGTGTGTGTGTGTGTGTCTTGAGGCTTGAAGTCAAGGCCTGGGTGCTGTCCCTGAGCTTTTTCACTTAAGGCTAGCAATCTACCATTTGAGCCACAGTTCTACTTCCAGCTGTTTTTTTTTTTGGGGGGGGGTAGTTAATTGGATATAAGAGTCACAGACTTTCCTGCCTGTGCTAGCTTTACACCATGATCTCAGACTCCTAAGTAGCTTGGATTATAGGCATGAGCCGCTGGTGCCTTGAAAACTATTTTTATAAATGAAATATTACCAGAATGCAGATAAACTTGCTAATTTAGTATAACTTCAAAAGGATAATGGCAAAATTTAGTAGTTTCAACAAAGCCTGTGTGGGCCCATGAAGCCTAAAATATTTAGTATCAGGCCTTTTATAGAAAAAAAAAATTCCCAACTTGTAGTCTAGGGAAAATGTGATGATGTAGAAAGTGAGAAGGTGCACTTGGAAGGAAAATGAGGGCCAAATGCAGAGTTGCTGAACACTACCATGAAAGGAAAGAGTTTGGAGGAGGAGGATGACGGCATCAAGGGAAGAGCACAGCCCGGGAGAAAAGAGTTTGCTTGGAACTTCTGAGTTAGTGTCAACCATTTTCTGTTCTATGAAAAAAGAATCTAGAACTTAAGAGCTGATGTATGAGACAAGCCCCAAGGTAGAATCCTGGGAAATGATACCCAAGAAGCAGGTGGGGAAAAAGTATCAGGCAAGACACTGCTCATAGCAGTACTAGACAGGTAGCAAGTGCTAGAATGACCACAATCATGATGATGAAAGTTTCTTGAGAGCAGAAATTGGATCTCACATTCATGTGGGTGGGTCCTAAACCAGTTTAAAGACACTCAGATACAAGATGAATAAAACCATTCAAATGACATAAAGTAATTTGATTGCCCTAGAGTGCTCTTATAGTTAAAAAAGAAAAGAATTCTCGGCACCTGTGGCTCATGCCTGTAATCCTAGCTACTGGGGAGGCTGAGATCCGAGGATCACAGTTCAAAACCAGCCTGGGCAGGAAAGTCTGTGAGACTCTTATCTCCAATGAACCACCAGAAAACCAGAAGTGGCACTGTGGCTCAATGGTAGAGGGCTTGCCTTGAGCTGAAGAGCTGAGGGACAGCATCCAGGCCTAGAGTTCAAACCCCACCACTGACAAAAGAAAAAAGAAAAAAATTGGAATGAAAAAGAGTGGGTGAAAAGCAGATTTATTTGTATGAGAATGCAGAAAGATAGTATGAATCAGGAGATAAATATACCTGATTTAAGAAGGATATAAAGTGCACATGGCAATATTACGTATAAAAGCATAAATTGTGACTATGTGTTCTTGAAAATATTCAGTGTGCTATATGTGAAATATACCTTGGGGTCAAAGTACAGGTGAGTAGAGGTTATCATGGGCTTGTAAGAATAAGGTCTTGCTTTCTAGGCTTCTTGATTAATTAGACTGGGCTCTTGTTTGTAAGTTCTGAAACCACACTCAAGTTAGCTTATATAAAAAAGGGGAGAACTGGCTGACAGAAACCAAGAGAATTGAACATCAAGCTGTGTGAGGGAGGGACGGGGCACAGCTGTGTTTAAGGATGCTCCCAGCTCCTCTCAGCCACTCTCTGCACATAGGCCTCATTCTTCTCCCTTGCTACAGATTTCCCATGCATGGTGCAAAATATGGCTCCCAGAAATTCTTGATTTGTATGTGGTATAGTTCTAGACTTTAAGGAAAATATGGACTCTTTCTTAACGATCAAAACCCAGATCAAGAACTTAATTAGTTCATTGAATTTTTTTTGTTGTTGTCTCTTTTCTGGTGGTACAAAAAAACAAACAAACAAGCCATTTTAAGAAAAATAGAATCACATGTGGTTCCAAGGTCACACATGCTTCCCAGGTCATGCATACCTGGGAAACAGAGAATGCAAGACCTTGAATTTGAGACCAGGAAGGAAGGAAGCAAGGAAGGAAGGAAGGAAATGGAAGTCTTCTAAAAATCCAAATATAGGATTGCCACAATTTCAGTCATTCATGTACTGTCTGGCTTCCTTACTAATTATCTCCATAAGCCTTTGTATTACCCACCTCAGTGCCTAGGGTACCCATTACTTGCTGCTTAGCAAGTAGGTGTTGGATGCATAGAACTAGAAGGAAGGAAACAAAAGAATGTATAAATTAGAGCTCTGCTGCTTAGTATGGTAACCACTGGCCATATGGCCATTGAGCACTTCAAAAGTGTTCATTCTAATTAAGATAGAGTATCCACCTTGATTTTAAAGACGTATTACCTCCACAAGGATGTAAAACATTTCATATGCCCACTTTTCTAGTTATTCATTCAGTAACCAGTAGTCAATAATTAATTCATAAACTGACTTACCAACACTTAAATTTTAGCTTCCCCCCAAATCTTTATTTTAATTTTCTCTTGTAATCGTGGAAGATGTGACATTTTTCCTTGTCCTTTTAAAATTATTTTATCCTTTTGTACTCTGTTTTTTAATCTTATGTTTCTCTTGTCAATGAATAAATGAATAAATGGACAGCTACATGTTCCGGGTTTGCAACTGTGGTAAGAAGGAGATGGAGCTAATTAACCACATTTCTTATCCTGAAGGAGCTTAGTGGGGAAACAGCTTGATGTAGGTGCAATATTTTATTGGTTAACTTCAAGTACATACAGAAAGGTTTCAATATCAGCTGTCACTTACATTTATATCACAAGTGACTAAATACAAGTTTTTTGTATTTCCTCTTTCGCAGTATACTATAGTGCTAGAGCCCAGACTCTGGAGTCAGATTACCTATTTTCAAATCTCAGTAGATTGTGTAATGTTGAGCCATTTCTTTAATGTCTTTACAATTCAATTCCTCCATTGTAAAAGGAGGATTGAAAAGAACCAATTGCTTCATTGCATTTTGTGCATGTTAAAATAATAGCTACTAATAAATAATAGCAAGTACTTACCTCCTGCTAGCATTATCATCACTACAACTCCTCCTCTTATCAGTATTACTTAGCCTAGCAATGGCAGCTCTGAAGGTACAGGTCTCACTGAGGCCAGTTCTAAGTACACACATGAGACTGCACAGGACAAAGCAAGGGATGAAACAGTTGAGTGTTGCTTAATTAGTGGGCATGGGTGGGAAGCTTCCCAGTTCTGCAGTGAGCGCAGTGGATTTCTTACCAAGGTTTGGCATTTAGCATTGATGTGTGTGTGTGTGTGTGTGTGTATTGGTCCTGGAGCTTGAGCTCAAGGCCTCACACTCAGCTTGCTTGTTCAGGTGCTCTTCCACTTGAGCCACATCTCCAACTTCTCACTTTTTGCTGATTAACTGGAGATTCATGCTTCATAGATTTGTCTACCCTGGCTCGCTTTCAATGAGATTCTCAGATCTCGGCTTCCTGAGTAGCTAGGATTATAGGCTTAGGGGATGGCTCCTGGCAAGCTCTGGTAAACTCTGAACACTTAAAGAGTAGTGCTGCTGGTTTTGTACCCTGGAAATTTAAAAAGTTGCAAGCAACTATATATATATATATATATATATATATATATATACACATATACATATATATATGATATTTTAAATGTCTTTTTTCCAGATTTATCTTTAAAAAGCAACTTCCAGGAGCCCTCTTGGGGGCGGGGATAAGAAGAACAGCTTTAGCAAGTCATCTATGCCAACCGAGAACTTGATACTTATGCCACTTGATTTAAATGCTACAGTGGTGCAGTGTTAAGAGTGGTTTTGGTAGTCAAAATACTGCAGTGGCTTGCCAGGCATGGTGTCATACGCCTGTTAGTCCGAGGCTAGCCAAGGCGAATGCCAAGACCCTATCTGAAAACAAACCAGAAGCAAAAAAGTCTGGGGTGCGTGGCTCAGGGAGCAGAAGGCGTGCAGGAGTTCCTGAGTTCAGTTCCCAGTACAAACAACAAAACCTACAGTAGCTTGACCGTGGACGCCTCAGGTTGGACCCTGGAGGTGATAATTCGTCCGAACGGATGGCTTTACAGCCCCGGGAGGCCCAAACTCCACCGACCTTCAATTCTAGCCAGCCAGAGGGGACCCCTACAAGCCACCCATGTGTTTCCAGACGAGGAGCCCCGGGATGGAAGGGGCCGTGTCGGGCCTACCAAGCGCGGGTCGCAGCGCGGCGGGGGAGCCGGGCCTGGTTATCTGGCACGCCACGTGGCCCCGCCGGGCCGCCGCGCACGCCGCGGGGACACGACGCCCCTTCCTCGTGCCCGGCGCCGCGGGCCGCCCCGGGCGCGCGCAGAGCCTACCTTACCTGGTGGCGTCGGGGCAGCCGCGGGGCCCCCGAGCCCCAATCCGGAGGGCCAGAAGGGTCTGTGGGTTCAGGGGTGGGGTCTGGAGGCGTCTGAGGTGAAGGCTGGATCCAGCTGCACGGGGGGATGGGGCTGTCTCGCCGCGCTCTCAAGCCGACGCCAGAGGCAGGCGTGCCGACCGCTCGTGCCCCGCTGGAGCCGGGAGTCCGGAGCGCCGCGTCACCTAGGTGACGGACAGCGTCCAGCCGCAGCCAGGGAGCGCGCAAGGAGGGGGCGGGGCGATCGAGGCGGAGGGGCGGGGCTAAGGGGGCGGGGCCAGAGGCGGGGCGGGGCAAGCTCCTGGCGCCAAGTCAACCCAAAGAGGGCGGTCCGGGGTGCGGGAGGGGTCCCGCCCCCGGGCACCTCGGGCGCACACCCGGGTCACTTTGAGAAGGGCAGAAGAGATGGGGAGTGGAATATTGGAGTCCACACTTGATTCGGATTCTGGGGGCCGAAGGGAAAGGAGCCGGGTGGCCTGGTTCGGGTTTTAAACTTGGGAAAGGTGGTGTCCTCGGACATCATCGGACTGGGTTGAACGAATGTTCCCCGCAGGTTAAGTGTCCTGCCTCGGGATCGCCCCTCAAAAGATAAGGATTCGCTGAGGCAAACACCTGTTCTCCAGAGATGGGGCTCAGGTGAGGGGAGCCCGAGACGCCGGCGCCCCCTCGGGGTCCCTCAGGAGGCTGCGCAGGGGGGCGCCGCTGACCTGCTCACTGCTCCCACAGCTGCCCGTGTCACCGAAGAGGTGGGACGGGGCTAGAAAATCCTCCGTCTTCTAGGACACGACTGGTTTGTGTACTTGGAATGAGGAGACTTGTTGCTAGGCAAAGTGCTTGGAAGGAAGCTATTTTGTTGCAGTCAGTTCTAGAAACGAATTTCCCATAGCAGCCAAAGGATAAGAGGTATGATCACTGTTTTACCTCGGGGATTAGATGTCCTCCGGGGATGTGAACCTTGGTAGAGGGTTATGACAAAAAATAGGTAAACTTTGATATGGCTTAATTATACTTAATTGTGGTCACTATTGTAAAATAGAATCAGCCATACCCTTCAGAAGCCAAGACAATACAGTGATTCAGTTATTTTGAAATTCTTGATTCACCTATCTACATTCACTGTCTAATTCTTGTGTTAGCTGTGGATGATAGAAGTCAAGAAAGAGAAAAAAGCTAGAATTCAAGTTTCAAGAACTCAGTCAATTTAGAGATAAGGATGTAGCCAGTCACTACCTCTTGTATTACAGGAGCACTCTTACACAGCTGATATCAGAAGCTGGATGGAAGATGTTTTGCTCAGTCAAGGCAAAGAGGAATTTTATTTTTTGAAAACATTAGTTTTGTTGAATTTTCTTAGAATTGGTAACTAAATTATGGCTGACTGGTTAGTCCTATTGCCAAGGATATTTATGAAAACATCAAATTAGCTTAAACTTTCTCTTCCTAAGGCCATACCCTTCAACAGAAGGGTTCAAATGAATCTATAGAATGTAGGGCTTTTTGTGTGTGTGTGTGCCAGTCCTGAGGCTTGAACTCAGGGCCTGGGTGCTGTCACTGAGCTTCTTTGGTTTAAGGCTAGCATTCTATCCCTTGAGCCACAGCCTTTTCTGAGAAGTTTATTAGAGATAAGAGTCTCATGGATTTTCCTGCCCTGGCTGGCTTCAAACTGCAATCCTCAGACCTCAGCCTGCTGAGTAGCTAGGATTATAGGTGTGAACTACCAGTGCCTGGCTGAGTTTATTCTTTCTGAAAGGTAGGGCAAAAATGCATTAGTGCTTTTGGAGAATTAGTCTCTCCACATGGGGGGAAAGAGTAGACAGACTCAGTTTCTACCTTGGGCTGAAGGGTAAGTGCAAAGTAAGACACCCGCCTTCCTGTATGTGTGCATGTGTTACTTGCTTTAGTAACTCAAAACATAGAGGAACAGCAAGTAATGCCACTGACACAGAGATTGGCATCAGATCAATAACTCTTAGGTATTATTATTTCCACTGTACTATGCATCTGAACAAAGTAAGGATTAGAGGTCATTTAGGAAAAGTGCCAGTCCTATAGTTTATTCAAATCCACAATGGTTATCTTCTTCTTTTTGATGAGAAAGCATTATGTTTCACTTTTATTCATACAGATTCAGAAATAATTCACTGATCTCTATAGCATTTATGCACAAGTTGTTAGCAAAGTTCAGTTCTGGTTTTCATTCATTTACACACTGAATAAATTACCAAAATTATCTGTCTAGAGAAGATTTGTTCTAACAAAGTGAAGGGTAAAATCCAAATGCCCATACAAAATTGAGTCACCCCATAATAAAAGCTTTTCATTAAACTCTGTGTTCTTTTCTTTGGTGGTGTTGGGAATTGAACCTATGGCCTTGTACATACTAAGCAAACACTCCACCATTGAGCTACATCCTCAATCTTGAACTCCGTGTTTCTAACTGGATATATTACAGATTGAAATATAATCAGAGCATGATAAAAAAAAACTGTTAGTGTTTTTCTGATTATGAACACTAAATGTTACTTAGGACTATTATAAAATTAATATTGGGAGTTATGTATGTAGAGTGATTAGTATGTGTGAGACCTTGTGTTAGAGTCTTAACACTGAAAAAAGAAAGAAACAAATCTCTAAATGCATGCTCATTGTAGATAATTGCCAGTATACAGAGAATACAACTGAAGAAGTTAAAACCACCCAGAATTCGATCATCCCACAGTAACCCCGGTCATTAGTTCTATTTTTACTTTTAGCTTTTTGTGCACATGTATAGCTAGTAACAGCATTGTATTTTATGGTCTCATGTTGCTGGCTTTCTTTTTTTGCTTACTATACTCTCAAATATTTCTCCAATGTCTTTTACATCTCTAAAATATTTTAATGCACACACACTAAAATTTATCCACAATTTATTCAGATTTGGAAATTTTCAACTTTTCTCCTAAAATTAATTGTTCCAAAAATATTTGTTAGGAGCTCACTTGGCACTGTACTAGGTACAAAATGTAAATGGTGAAGAGTTAACTATAAAAAATAAGGTTTTGATAAACATCTTTGTAAATAAATCTTTGATGTCATCTTTCATTCTTAGACTGAATTCCTAGGACTATGAAAACATAACTTCAAAGGGCATTCTTAGAGCTTCAAAGGCAAATTTAAGAAACTAAAATTGTGCACTGGAAAATATTAACTTTTTGGAAAAGTACCAACAATAGAATTAATATTTATTTTGTGCAAAGTGTGAACTTAGCCAGAAGATGCTTTCTTGTTAGTTGCTGTGAAACACCAAGGGTATTTGAAGTATATTGACTTTGGCTTTTACCTCTAATTCTTTCCAGGATTTGCTGGTTTTCTCAATAGTGTGAGATTGTTTGAAGTCTATGCAAATTGCCCTACTTCCTCTTCTAGGAGTTAAAATGTTAAGTGCAGTATTTTATTTCCAGCTTCCTTCTTGTAAACATATGGTCTTTCTCCATTTCTTTCATTACGTTCTTATTTGAAACACTTTGTGTATTCACACTTGCTAATCTGAAGTCAGATTTCATATTCTAAACCTGTTACAATGCACATATTTCTGTAAGAGATGAGACATTTAAAATGTCCTATAGTTAACTAATATATTTAAGGAATTTCCTAATTGAGATTATTTATTAAAAAGTAATAACCACCCTTTGCAAGACAGGTGCATGCAGAGGTGTACCCCAACACACCCTGCTATTCCCTCAAGATTAAAATTTTAAGTACTAGGTGAATATATATATATATATATATATATATAATTGCCATTTGGGGGACATGAAATAAAGTCAAATGACAACTTTGGTGCTTCTATCTATGCAAATACTTTATTAATTTATAGATTTTCACCTCTAAATATTGAACTTCCTAATTATCATACTACTAAGAATGTCCTTTATGAGTACATAAGGCTGTGTTTGCTTTGGTGTTCATAAATATTTCAAATCTAGTCAGGGGCTGCTATAAAATGATTGTTTATTATTTTGGAGTCAGTAGAGGGAGCCTGGAGCCAAAGCATTGTTATTATAGGAATGTAAATGATGACCAGCTTCCAATTCCTGGTGTGTGGATACATTTAAATATGGGTATATATGCTACATAGCATTTTTAAAGTTGCTTGTATTTAAATAGTTACTTTAATAAGATGAAAAGGAGAAGACTGGCTGTGGTGTGGGATAGACTTCATAAGAGTTTATAATAGGACCAACAGGAATTCCACGTTCTTTGCTCTTCTCTGAGTAATGCCAGAACTAGCACATTGGCACATTGGCACATTCCTTTTCTGTCATTTCCCACCTTTCAGACCACAGTGAAGATCAGCTTTCCATTTCCAGGGTATTTTGTCATGATTATTTCATCAGAACTTCAAAAAAATTACAATGTCCAATTTTGTGTCCTGATGAATAGTTATTTATTGTACCTTAGCTGATTGCTTCCTCCAAGACTGGCACAGAGGCCCTTTGATCCTGCTTCAGCTCACATCCTTCCTAGAAAGAAGGTATCTAACAAGTCACCACAATTTCACAGACTAGAGTTTATTAACCTTAACTAAAGATGTCATCTCCTGCTGGCTCTCTCCTCAACCATCTTAATCTACAGTCCAATCTCTTGTTAAGTTTTAGATATGTTCATATATGCCACAGAATATTATGCCGCTAACAAGGAAAATGAAATCATATATTTACAGGAAAATAGATGCAACTAGAGAGAACTTCTTGCTGAATAAGCTAAGACAAAGAAGCCAAATACTCATGTTTTCACTCATATGTGGAAGCTATACCTGAAAAGCATACATATTCATGAAACACATATATATACAGACATGTATATGCACACATATATGTATATACACACGTGTATGTGTGTACTGTTTAGTATAATGAAGAGAGAAGAGAAGAAAAGATGGAGAGTGAATACTTAAAAAAATCTTTTTAGAGCTTTTTCAGAGTGGAGTGTGTCTCCTCCCTTTTCTTCATCTTGGCTGGAAGCAGAATTTCTGTCACCTTCCTCTTAAACAAGAGTGAGCAGGCCCAGATACTAGAAGAAATGAAAACATATAATTAAAATAGCATTAATACACAGAAAAATAAATAATTCTAGAGGAAATAGATCACTTAAAGAATGAAAGCAAGTATAAATGCTAGAAACCAACCTCAGAGAAATTTGATAAATCATATCTATAAAAGACAAACAAGATGACATAATGAATTTGTAATCAGTTTAAGAACTAGCTCTTGGAAGTTTGTTAATTTAATTCATAAATTTGTTTTGTACAAATAGCCAACACTAGTCATCAGAGAAATGGGAATCCAAAACCACTATTTAAATATTAAAAAAATAATTCTGGGCACCAGCGATTCATGTCTGTAACCCTTAGCTACTCAGGAGGCTGAGATCTGAGAACCGAGGTTCAAATCCAGTCTGGATAGAAAACTTTAAGAAGACTCTCATTTCCAATTAATGAGGAAAAGGCCAGATGGGGAGATGTGTCTCAACTGGTAG